TCTTTTCCGGAAAAGCGTGTCTACATTGGCCACAGACGCTTTTCCGGAAAAGCAGCCTGCCAATGTAGGCGCTCCTTTTCCGGAAAAACTGAAAACGGAATAGTATTCCGTTTTAAGCAGTTCCGGAAATTCATGCCAGTGTAGACACAGCCTCAGTGTTTCATTAGTAGCATTACAGGTAGCATCTGGTCTGAGAGGGAGTGCCGCTTCCATAGTTGTTGATTCAGATGAGACAGGTGGTTTAACCGTGGTGCTCTGATGTATCCTATAACACTGTAAATTAATAAATGGAGCATATCTGTCTGCATTTCACTGAAGGGAAATCAGCCCCGGCAGGTGAAAAGCAGACTCCCGTGAGATCTTAGTTGCCAGGAATTACACAGGGCTCCTGATCTAAACAGGGCTTCTTGTCCCTGTGTCTGTCTTCACTATTCATGTGTGTTGTTTTTTCCCAACAGCTGGAAGGAGACGAGGCATTCAAAGAATTTTTGGTAGTTCACCAAAAACGGACACAGGTGGCCACTTGGGCTAATGACACATTGGCAGAACAGCCCAAGACAGGGAAGTCAAAGCCAGTGGATGATTACCTAAACTTTGACTCGGATGAGTCAGAGGAGCTCAGCGAAGAGGAGAAGAGCAGGGGAGAGCAACATGAGGAGCAAAAAACAACAAACACTAAAAGTAAATATCTCTTTGTTCTGTTCATCTTTAACTGGGATACCGATGCGGGCCCTGATCCTGTGGAGTGCCAAGCAGCTCCAGGAAAATGTTGCATGCTGTCCGATCCTGTGGAGTTGGTGGGAATTGTGATAGTTCAGCATATCACCAGATATCCCCAAAATGTGATGCAAACTTCACAGTAGCTATGGTTTCAGCATATTTTATCAATGTTTGGTCCCTAGTCCCTCTCCAGGGAGCCTAAGGAGTCTGAACTGCAGACTTGCTGGTTCATCTGCCCAAGTGAGTCTCTTCCATTCCCTATCTACATGGGATGCTGCAGCCATTCTGTCCTCAGCCCTTTAAATAACCCTCCATAAGTCTTTCTAAAGGAGTGAAATTTTTCTTGCTTTGTTTTAGGCCCAAAGGCTTTTCAGAAAGTTTAGATAAGGCACTGGACTGGGAAATATCTGGCTCTGCCACTGAGCTTCAGGGTATCCTCAGACAAGTCACTTCCCTGCTTTGTGCCTCAGTTCCCCTTTCTGTTATCCATGTTGTTTATTTAAATTGCAAGCTCTTTGGGTCAGGGATTGTGCAGTACTTAGGACAAGATGGCTATAATTTTGGTTAGAGCCTGTAGGTGCTCCTGTAAATCACATAATTGAGCTGACTCACTTTCGGTGACATTGAAGTATCTATCACAGATTGAGGAGTCAGAAGAACAGGTTTTGGAACAAACTGATAAACAATGATTAGTTATCGGGACTAGGTGGTATTCACCCAGGGGTTCTAAAGAAGCGCAGATATGAAGGTTCAGAATTACTAGTTTCTGTACCAGAGGACTGAAGGATAGCTAATGTAACACCTATTTTTAAAAAAAGCAGTCTGTGCAACTTTAGGTTTTAGGTTGGTAAACTGGTTGAAGCTATGGTAAAAAAAAAAAAAAAAGATAAGGCATGTAGATGGGGCACACAGCTGTGTTGAAGAACCAGTGTGGTTTTGGTGAGGCATGATTTCCCTTTACAAATCTATTAGAATTATTTAAGAGCACACAGACAGACAAGGTAATGCAATGGATAAAGTATACTTGAACTTTCAGAAAACCTTTGACAAGATCCTGCACCAAAGGCTCTTCAGCAAAATAAACAGACATGGGCTAAGAGGAAAGGTACTCTCATGGATCCTTAAACTGGTTAAAAGACAGGAAAGAAAAGATTGGAGTAAATGTTCAATTTTTACTGTGGAGAGAGGTAACTGCAGGGTCCCCCAAGGATCTGTACTGTGACCACTGCTATTGAACATACTCACAGATAATCTGGAAAAAAGGTTAAAGAGTGAGATGGCTCAGTTTGTAGATAATATAAAATTACTCAAAATAGACGAGGGCAAAGCTGACGAGGAATAGTTACAGAGGGATCCCACAAAACTGAGTGATTGGACTCATTTAAGGAGGGATATGATAGAGATCTCTAAAATGATAAATGAGGTGGAGAAATTGAATAAGGAAGAGTTATTTACCTCTTCACATCACAGAAGAACCAGGGATCACTCAATACGCAGGGAGTTCAAAACAGAAGGAAACACAGTCAACCTGTGAAACTCATTACTAGAGATGCTGTGAAGGTCAAAATTAGAACTGCGTTTTAAAAAACAGTAAAAAAGTTCATGGAGGTCCATCAAGGGCTATTAGCCAGAATGCACAGGCAAGCAGTCCAATTCCCAGGGTGTCCCTAAGCCTCTAACTTGTTAACAGAGATTGGATTTCCCAGTTCTTTGTTCCCTCAGAAGAAGCTGGCATCCTTCTTCCAGCCAGCATCCTAGGCTTCCTTGGCTAGAGGGACCCTTGGTGTAATGAGTCTGACCATTCCTATTGCTCTTATGCACGTTTTTACAAATGTGTGTGTCCCTTCTATTTTTAAAAGATTTCTCTTTGAATCTTGGCAAACTCAAAAGCAGTTAAGTTTTGAAATATCAAGCAAGGACAAGAATAATAGTTCCCTGCTCTTATCTAGCACTTTTCATCAGTAGATCTCAAAGAGCTTTACAAGTAGACTGACATTGTTATCCCCATTTTACAGATGGGGATACTGAGGAGATATGTAGTTCTTCAGTGAATTGATGAATAAGTTCATGTACTTCCTGGCCACCTGCAGTGCTTCAGGTTTCAGCAGAGACTACTGATACTCATCTGCCTATTGATCTCCGTTCACAAACCAGATCCCAAAGTCAGCTCCTTTATAAGTTATGCCTATGGTTAGCCTGTGCAAAGCCACTACACTTGTATTACTGTTATCTTGGATCTTTCTGTGCTTCACCTTTGTATCTCTCCCACCTTGGGAGTTTTTGGGGTACAGAGACTGTTTAAGCGTGTATTATGCACTTCAGGGCTTTTGGTGCTGCTATGATATGGATAACTAGTAAGAACACATTAACATGCAAAGTGCGGACCTCCAGGGTAGTGTGTTTTTCCATGTGCTTGTATCTTCCTTATCCAGCTTTTCAAATAGAGTGTTTAGTACTAGAGAAAGACCGACAGCCTGGAAAGCCAAAGCTTTCTGTTGATCTCTGTAGCATGGACTTGAACAGAGCAAGCTTCTTTCTCAGGCTACCTCTGCCAATGATTTGTACAAATAACCTCAGTGGTAAGAGGGACGAGTTCAGACTCTGGCCTGTTTAATCCTTGGTCTGTCTGACAGTGTAATGCAAAAGGTACTGGTGACTTTTGATGGGATCTGTCTTGCCAGACATCTAGCCAGTAGCCCATTGGATAGTAATTGCTTCTCATTCTTACCAGCCATGGCTGGATTTGATCACCTGACCCAAGAGGAGGAAAGGGGATTGATTCTGGGATGTTGAACCTGAGCCTCCTTTGGTGCTGCCTGTGTATATAGGGTGGCTGTTCTTGCAGGAGCCCAGCTGGACAAAGAGTCCACAGCAGCTCTTGGGGTTTGTGCTGCTCTAGGCTGTTTGTCCTCCTGGGAAAAGGGAGGTTTGTGTGCATGCATATGTCTAATGCTTTCTCTCCTCTCTGACAGTGAAGAAGAGCCCCAGGGAAAAGGCAGCTGCCAGGAAAGAGCTCTCCGATATGGATTACCTGAAATCTAAAGTGGTGAAAAATTCCTCATCTTCCTCATCAGAGGAGGAGAGTGAGGAGGACCAGCCTGATAGTGAACAGTGTGAGGGGGGAAGCGAGGTCGAGAGAGAACCTGGCAGCATGAAAGTCATCAGTGCTCAGATGGAAACAGAGGCAAAGCTGGAAGGACATAGCAAAGAGCAGGGGACTGTGGTGGAGGAGAAGAAGAAGAAAAAAGGAGAGAAATTGGAGGTATAGATGGGCCTGAATTGTAACCTGGGTGCCAGTTCTCTCCTGCAGTTTGGCTCTGGATTTGAACTTGGCAATTTGGGTTGATCCATCTTCATTCCTGTTGGAGCAGTTTTCACATCTAAAGGCTTTGCAATGAATTATCCCTGTATCTGCCCTAAATGGAGTAAAAAGTATTAGAGGGGTAGCCATGTTAGTCTATAACTTTAAAAACAATGAGTAGTCCTGTGATACCTTAGAGCAGGGGTGTCCAAACTTTTTTCAAAGAGGGCCAGATTTGATGAAGTGAACATGCGTGAGGGCCGACCATTTTGCCTGACATTCTTTGAACCATTAAAATTAAATGCAAATTAACTATTTTATGCAAAGTTTATTGCAAACGGCATACTTTTCATTTCGTCACATGGATGACCCATCTAAACAGGTGTTAAATCACTCTGCCTTTCATATCTGAAGGCCAGATGGAAAAAAAAAAATCCAGGAAGCTGAAATATATGTCAGGAACATTGTAAAGTACATTACATATTATTGGTAATAAAGGTTGTCTGTCAACTTTTAAGTTCAAAAAATATGAACAGGAACATAACACCAAGTATACATGTTGTGTCCAAATATATTTATAACTGATTTAGACCAACTGACTTTAACTGAGATTTTACAATGTATTCATCTCAATACATATGGATTCGTTGGGGGGCCATAAAAGATAGATATTGCCAAATTACCTGGGGGGCCGTATTAAACCAGAACACGGGCCGCAATTGGCCCGCGGGCCGGACTTTGGACATGCCTGCCTTAGAGGCTAACAAAAATATATATTGTTTATGAACTTTCACGGGTAAACCCTGCTTCTTCAGATGAGTTTGAGTAGAGATAAAAGGGTGGCTATCAGATTTATAACAGAAGAAGAAAAAAAACATAAACAACAAATAGTCTGGTAGCACTTTATAGACTAACAAAACATGTATGGTATCATGAGCTTTCCTGAGGGAAAAAAATGTACCTGTCAATACTAGTGCATGTACTAAGGAGGCTAATTAAGTGGGCTGGAGGTGTCCCATACTTAACTTGATGTTAGTGTTGTGTTAAATGTAAGGAAGACTGGTTTTATAATAGGCTCTCTAGTTAATGTCTTTTGTTAAGCCCCAGAGAAATTGTCAGATTTGCATATGAAGGTCAATTCTGCATTCTCTTTCTGTGGTTGGCTTGTGAAATTCCTTTGCAGAAGAATGACTTGGGCACTCTATGGATATAAAAGTTGCCATTCTTATACAAGGGAATCTTACAATCAAACTACAGAGAGAAAATGCAGAATTGACCTTCACTCTAAATTTGACACAGCTTCTGTGGAGTTTAACAAAGACATTAATGGGGTGGACCATTATAAAACCAGTCTTCCCTATATTTAACATGTCAATGGCAATAAAAGCTAAGAATGGGACACGTCCAGCCCACTTGATTAGTGTCATTAGCACCTGTGCTAAATGGAGTCTGTTTTGAGAGAGGAAGGATGACACAGTGATTAGATCTAGGACTTGAGAGACGTGGGGTTGGTTGTCCTCTTGCCACAGGCCTCCTGTGCAAGTGGGGTTCTGCCAGGAAACGGGTGAATGGGACTTCACAGGGAGAAGGGAGGCAGGTTCCCATTAATCTGAGCCATCTCATAAAGGCAAGCACTGTAGTAGCAGTCATTCAGGCTGTAGAGACACAGATATGAAGTTTTGGTCCTGTGCCTAATTTTCGGCAAACCTGGATATGAGACAGTGCATGGTTTGTATTTTGGTTTCAGTCAACTTCTCTGCCCCAGGCTTACTGAGTGATCTTGAGCTAGACACTTAGTGTGTCCGTGCCTCAGTTTCTTCACAGTGCAATAGGGCTAATAGTCACCTACCCTGGAAGTAATATTAGGTGCTTTGGTAGCACAAACATGGGGTCATATAGATGGGGTTTTGTCTGTCTCCCCATTAGTGTTTTGTTCCAAAGGGGCAGGTTTCTATGTTATCTTAAAATTAGTCCCTTCTTGTGGTCAAGTTTGAGGGCAGCTCATGGAGAAATGTGAAAGCAGATTCAATTTGACAGAGAAAATAATGGTAAGTTTCCTTATTTTTACCTCCTTAGCTACTCTGAAGTTTTTGGGGATATAATTGGCTTTTACCGCTTACCCATGTCTACTATTCTTTGTTAGTCTCAGGATAGCCCAGGGCACTACACTTCTAAAGGGCATTTGTACAGGATTACTGCCCTTAGTGGTGATTGATCCTGTGTTTTAGTCTCATACAGGTTGTACTGTAACTGACTAGACATGCTAGCCAAAATTTAGAAAAACGACTAGAGATTTTGAAGAGCCTGCAGTTCAGAGGATGGGTACTTGTTGCCTTTTGAAATTAAGTCATTTTAGATGTCCCAGGTTGACCACTTAGAATCACTGTCTACTTTGTGAAAACTGAGGCATCTGTGATTTTTCCCTTAATGTGGGAACTGGTTACATGCATGCAGGCTCAGCCCATTGACCGTATCCTGTGAGGTTTTTGCCTTAGTTAACTGAGGGCTCAGGCCAAACTAGGGCAGATGCTGTGTATGTGTGGGATTGTTTAGGCCTGCAGAGGGCTGAAAGCTTGTGGCTCTCGGTAAGGCATGTCTTGAAAAACATAGTTGCTAGCTACCTGCTAGCTAACTACATCTACTTGTCGAAAGCTGATATGACTGGGTTGGCGATCCAGGGGTAACCCATTTCTGTGAATCTCTGCCCTCCCATCTGGAAGCTTCTAGGATTCCCTGATTGCTGTCCAGGAGTAGAAGTGTTATCTTGTCTGTCTGTCATATTCTATATGTGCCTATCATCATAGAATCTTAGTGCCTCTCTGACCCCTCCACTCCACCTGGAATAGATAATGTACTCTCCCTCTCTCTCTCCTATCCAAGTCTGACTCTGTATGCAAGTGGTAGGAATGCATCATCTGTTGCTCTGTCCTTTCTACATCCTCTTGCTTTCTGGGGAAGACTAGCTCCGTGGCATCAGGCCTCCATCTATCCTGTACTCCGCCTCTCTCACACTGTGCTGCTGACCAAAGTTGACTCTTGTTCCAGATACTGTTCTGGATTAAACCTCTTGCCAAGGATGAGTTTTGAAATGTTATCTCACTTTTCCTTCTCTCCAGCTGAAGAATGAAGTCAGTTCCAGTATAGCTACCACGCCGTACACAGTAAAGCTACGAGGGGCTCCTTTCAATGTCACCGAGGTAAGTGCTCTGCCACCATGGCCTTACCACTCCCTCATTTATGGCTTAAATGGTATTTGTAACAGGAACAGAATGATAGTCCTTGGATTGCCAACATCTACAATTCAGTAGCCAGCATATACTGTTCAGGCGTTACTAGGTATCTTCAGGTTAGTGGGTGAGTTTTGAGAGTGGAACATTCATAATGTCAAGAGTCCCAAAGTGTCTAGGCAGCATTCCTAAAATTTACCAAAGGGCACTCCAGAAATCTGCCCAACTTGCTGAAATTGTTTTATTCTCTTCTATTTCCAGAAAAATGTTCGAGAATTCCTCTTGCCCTTGAAGCCGGTGGCAATCAGGATAGCAAGAAATATTCATGGGAATAAGACAGGTACCAGCTGTAGAGGGATTGTGCATTGTGGGTGCTGCACAGCAGAGATGACATTAGGAATGCTATTTCCCATGTTGGCCTTTGCTATTTCTTAAGCCTGTGGTTCCAAATCACGACAGTATGCTCCAGTTCTCACACATCCCGTTCCCGTGACTTACTCCAGTCTTTGTACCTTAGAATGGACTTTGAGGAGCCACACCATAAAAATGGTGCATAGGGCAGGCAGTTTATTTCCACTGTACATTGTTTTGTTTTCATAATTTTTTGGGGGGGAGGAGTGCATCTTCTATCCCTTTGAGTTTGAAGCATGTAAAAATGTACACAGTGCATGGGGGTCTAACTGCCAGATCAGTTTTAGACTATTTATGTGCACATGCAAGCACAAACAGAAGTCTTAGAAAAATATTTTCTCTTCAGTGAAAGATCCATTCTATCTCAAATCTGATATAGTTTACTCCAGAATAAATATGGTGGCAGATACACATATATTATGGAAATCTAATACAGAAAAAAAATCTTTAACTTGTTGCTTAACTGTCTAGTTAGTGTGTGTGTGTGTGTGTGTGCACACACATCCACATAGCTCATGATGTGCTCAATTGAACCTGATTTCTTTCCAGGCTATGTCTTTGTTGACTTCAACAGTGAGGAAGAAGTACAGAAAGCCTTGAAACGAAACAAGGAATACATGGGTAAGAGCAGCCTGTAGGCACTTGTCACTGACTCTGGTCTGTGGGTATAGGGATTTTCTGCTGTGGGTCCTGTTTGCTTCTCACATTTCAAGAGGATTCTGGTCCATCTCTTGATTTTTGCTCTGGCAGGAATGGAGGGTTTGTAAGAACAGGCATGCAATGTCCTGATTGTGTGTGGAAAAGATTAGGTGGTGTCTAGCTACTTGTGTTGCTCTTGTTTCAGTGAGCACTATGTGTCTTCCCCTCCAACCATTAACATTGTTCTCACAGAGATGGGATGGGCTAGAGGGCTTCCATGGGAAGTCAGCAGAGTTTGTCCAGCTTACACCAGCAATAAATTTGGCCCATCATCTTTAGAGAGGACCATATATTTTAATTATCTTGGCTCAAGTCTGGCTGAGGTCTTTGGGTGTGCCTGAAATGTAAGGTTCCCTTCTGTGTTGTGTGTGGCAGGTGGGCGCTACATCGAAGTTTTCCAAGAGGAGAGTATGCTGAAGATGAAACTCACCCGAAAGGGTGAAGACCAGCCCTGGCAAAGGAGGAAGAAGGATGATGAGGAAGAGGAGGACCTGTCTGAGTCAGGGAGACTCTTTGTACGGAATCTCCCTTATACTAGCACGGAGGAGGAGTTGGAGCAAATATTTTCCAAATATGGTAGGGAATGGAGCTCCACTCAGCTTCTTACTTCTCCCTAACAATCTGTGGGCTGATCATCTTGCCAGGCTCTAAATGCTCACTTGGATAGCAAGAAAGTTGAAGGAGTAGAAGACTCCATGAACTTGACAAGGCTGTGGCACTCAACCTGCAGTTGCCAAGATACCACAGGGGTGAACACCATTTTAAAACTAAATCTTGATTTATGTAGGCTGAATTCCCTTTCACTTCCAGGACATGTCCTCTTAGTGCAGGGTGGAATAGGGGAGTTATGGAGTGCCAGTGTGTGCTGTTGGGACAGAGAAGATTGGGTGGTGAGCTGCATCCCCTTCTGGCCCCAGATAGTTCTGACTGACCTGTAATGTGTGTAGTCTATGCAATGCATCATTGCTCATGTCTAGATGCCCGGGGAGTTGAGGCACATTGCTAGTAGGGGTGTGGGGAAAGTGGGTATTACTGCTGGCCTGTACCAACCCAGAAATAAAAGTTTCCATTTTCCATGCAGTCGACCCTTGAGCAGTCCCAGATTGTCTAAATGCGCACAGGTGCTAAGTTCAGCAACTTTCATGGTTTTGTTCCATCAGCTGGGTTCCTACAAAAGACACAGTCACTCAGTCCTGCTCCGCATTGTCTGAAAAGGGGGCATATCTTATTTAAATCATTTTTCTTTTGCAGGCCCCCTGTCCGAGATCCACTTGCCCGTTGACAATCTGACCAAGAAACCCAAGGGATTTGCCTTTATCACCTACATGATTCCTGAGCATGCAGTGAAGGCCTTTGCAGGAGTGGATGGGCAGGTATTCCAGGTACGGTAACAAACTAACTTGGAGATCTGGGTGGATGTTTGGTCATAAGGATTATTGCCATATCACAGCGAGAGTAGCCTGTCCCCGCTCTGGGAACTGAGCATGGTGGCTCATGCCATAGTCTAGCCCTGGTGAAAGCCCCTGTAGGCTGGGCATTATGGCTCGGGGTCTAGTCCACTACATCCCAGTCAGTGGGGTAGTGCGGCCCAGTGGCCAAGTCTGTGGTGTCGTCTTCTCCTCCTCCCCCCC